TTTGTATCTATTTTGATTAATTTTTTATGAGCTGTGAGACTTAGGTTGTGTTCATTTTTGTGCCTATCGATGTTAAATTCCTCCAGCACTGTTTGTTGAAAATATTTTCTTTCTTCCATTGAATTGTGTTTGTATCTTTATAAAAAACTCAGTTGGGCATATTTGTGTAGGTCTATTTCTGGGTTCTCTATTTTGTTCCATTTATCAATATGTCTATCCCATTGTCAATGCTGCACTGTCTTGATTGCTATGATTACATAGTAAAACTAATACCAGGTAGAATAATTCCTCCCATTCTATTCTTAGTCCAGAATTTTTCTTTCTTTCTTTCTTTCTTTTTTTTTTTTTTTTTTAGATATTCTAGGGTCAAGTGCTTTCCAGATACATTTTGGGATAAGGTTTTCTATGTCTACAAAAACCCTTGCTGGGATTTTGATGGGAATTGAATTAATATCTGTAGATCAATTTGGGAATAATTGACAACTTTTCTATGTTGAGTTGTCCAACTCATAAATACAGTGTTTCCCTATTTACTTAGGACTTTAAAAAATTCCTCTCATTGGCATTTCAAAGTTTTCAGCATACAGATTCTGTACACAATTTGTTAGATTTATCCCTATTTCATTTTCTTTGAAATAACTGTAAATTGTTACATTTAATTTTGGTTTCTACATGTTCATTGTCATGTGGAATGTCATACAGAAATAAAGCTGATTTTTATGCATTAATCTGAATTTAAGAACGCCCTCATGCTTATTAGTTCTAGGATTCTTTTTCTTTTTTTGTAGTTTCCTACATCTATGTAGACAATCATACTATCTACAAGCAGGTCCAGTTTCATTTCTTCCTTTTTTATTGGTATATGTTATTTATTTTCCTTGTTTTATTGCAGTGGCTAAAACTTCCAGTAGTATGATGAACAGAGTGATAAGAGTGGACATTATTGCTTTGTTCCCAATCTTAAAGGAAAAGCAAGCATTCCTTTAATGCTAAGTGTATTAGCTGAAGGTTTTTTGTAGATGCTCTTTATTAAGCCAAGAAAGTTCCCTTCTCTTCTTTTTTAATTATCACAGATCTTGGTAAATACTTTTTTGTGTGTCAATTGTTAAGATCATATAAATTTTTTAAATTTAACTTATGATGGATTACATTGATTGATTTCAAATGTTGAAACAGCCTTACATACCTGGAATAAACCCCACTTGGTTATGGTGTAGAATTCTTTGTACACATTGCTGGATTCAACTTCTTAATATTTTGTTGAGAATATTTGCTTCTAAATTGATGAGTGATATAAATAATTGTATTGTTTTTTCTAGGCTTGTTATAAGGGTAACACTAACCTCATAAACTTAGTAGAGAAGTGTTTTTCTTCTTCTATTTCTGTAGGTGAATGTATAAAATTGGTGTTAATTCTTCTTTAAATTTATGGTAGAAATCTTCAATACAACTATCCGGACTTGGAGATCTCTTTTTGTGGAAACTTTTATTTACAAATTCGATTTCTTTGAAGATTACAGAACTGTCCAGATTGTCTGTTTTTGTCTGTTTTATCTTGATTGAGGTTTGGTAGTTTTAGGTTTTCAAGGACTTGTTTCTTTTGAGTTGTTGACTGTGTGAGTTTAAAGCTATTCACTGTAACCTTTATTTTTCTTCTAATAGCCAAAGGATTTGTAGTGATTTCCTCTTTTTCATTCTTAATTTTTATGTCTTTTTTTGACCAGTGTTGCTAGAGCTTTGTGCATTTTATTTTCTTTCAAATAGACGGTGTTTTGTCTCATTCATTTTTTTCTATTTTTGTAAATGAATGCAGGTCCAGCCATTTGCTGCTTGCAGAGTCTCAAGAAGAGTGAGGTCTGGTAAAAGGAAAATGACTTCATTAACCAAAACTAGCAATAGGAAAGTGGCTGAATTCCCATCCAAAGCAATCACATTGAATTTATAGGGAGAAGGCAAGGGTTTATAAAAATAAACTTGGTATGGGACGCATGCAGTTGTGCTGAGTGCAAGGTGTGTGTGTCCTTTTTCACTGGCTATCTTGGGTCTCTGTCTACCTGGAGTGTGGGCTGACATCATCTGAACAATGGCTGGGTTGGTGACTAGCTGCCTTGAGGTAATCTCTGGAATTCTGCTTGGTGTCTAGGCTCGGTCTGTCTGTCTCAAGACTAGCCCTTGAACACCTAAGTAAGCACATAGATATTGGCATAATTAGATGAATGTGAAGGGAGTACACAGTGGGAAAGGAAGGGACATGCAGTCTATTTTAAGGTTAAAGGAAAAGGTTTTTGCAGCTTGCTTCAAGGTTACATCTTGAGACTAAAGATAAATGGGAAAAAAGTTTTAAAACGCATTATAGAGTTAAGCTGCTGGTTGGTTACCTTTTCATTTTTTTAAAAAAGTCATTAATTTCTGCTTTAATCTTTATAATTTCCTTCCTTTGCTCTTTTTTCTTCTAGTTACTTGAAGCAGTTACTTAGGTTATTGATTTGAGACATTTTCTGTTTTTAGTGCTATACATTTCCTCACAGCACTAGTTTTCTCCCCCCACATATTTTGAGATGTTATATTTTCATTTTCTTCCCATTCTATGTATTTTTAAAATTTCCTTTGAGACTTCCTCTTTGATATATGAATTATTTAAAAGTCTTTTATTTTTCAAGTATTTGGATATTTTCCATTGTTTTTATTTTATTGATTTCTAATTTGATTTCATTATGGTTAAAGAATTCACTCTGTATAGTTTCAATTATTTTAAACTGCTTCGTGTTTGTTTAATCACCCAGGATATGGCTTGGTGAATGTTCCATGGCCCTTGGAAAATGTGTGCTCTGCTGCTGTTGGTGGGAGTGTTCTCTATATGTCAGTTACATCCTGTGGGGTGATGGCCTTGCTCAGTCTTCTGTATTCTTGCTGATCGTCTAATAGCTCCATTAGCTGCTGAGAGTCAGATGTTAAACTTCCCACCTATAATTGTGGAATTGTTTCTCTCTCCTATCAACTCTGTTTTTGCTTCATATATTTTAGGGCTCTGTTGTCTGCAGCATACACATTTAGGATCACAACGTCTTCCTCATTGATTGATCCTTTTACATTATTTAATGTTGCTCTTTGACTTGCAATTTTCTTTCCTCTGAAGTCTACTATTTTTATATTAATATAGCCACTCCTACTTTAATTAATGTCTGCATAATACAACTCTTTCCTTCCTTCTACTTTCATCTTACCTGTGGTGTTGAATTCAAAGAGAGTTTCTTACAGGCAAGATATTGTTGGATTCTGTGTTTTTATCTACTCTGCCAGTCTCTATCTTTTGTCATATTTAGACTGTTCACATTTAAGTAATATGTTAGGACATACATCTGACATTGTTTGCTTTCCTTTTGTTTTCTCTGTTTCTTATTCTTCTGTTTCTCTTTCCTTACCTAGTTGTGGGTAACTTACATTTTTAGGATTCCATCTTATTTGTAGTATTTATTGTGTAATTTTCTTAGTTGTTGCTTTAGGTTTTACAATACATGTATGCAACCTTTCATAGTCTATTGGTATCAATGTTTGCCACTTTGAATGAAGTTAGATACCTTACTGTCATTCAGGTCTTTTTCTTCTTCCCACTTTTATGTATAGAGAGCTTAAGTGTATTCACTGCATAGAGAACCGTATCAGGTAGTCATATAATTTTTGCTTTAACCATCAAATATGAATTTGGAAACTCATGATTTGAAGGGTATTTACTGTATCTTTCCTAATTTCTAAAATCTACTTTAATGTTTTCCTTTTCTTTCTAAAGTTCCAAGTCCTTTTGTTGTTGTTGATTTCCTTTCCTTTTAGGGAATTTCTTTTAGGTACTCTTTAAAGATACAACAAATTTTCTTAGTTTTCCTTTGTTTGATAAATACCTATTCTTTTCACTCCCTGGAGGAATTTTGCCACATATTGAATCTACAGTTGACAGTTATTTTCCCTCAATAGTTTAAAAAATAGTCACTCCCTTCTGCGTCCTATGGTTTCAGGTGAAAGCTCAGCTGACTTGAATTGGTGTTGCCTCATGAGCAACATTGATTTCTCTCCAGCTGCTTTCAAAATTTATTCAGTCTTTGGTTTTTTGACGTTTAATTATGATGTGATTGGCACGAACTTCTTCGGGTTTACGATTATTGAGGTTTGTTTAGCTTGTTAAATCTGCAGCTGTATGTCTTTTGCCCATCTGGAAAGTTTTCAGCTATTATTTCTCTGAACGCTTTTCTGATGGCTCTTGTGCCCTGTGAGGTAAGGGGAGGACTGCGAAAGGAAAGTCCTTCCCGGCCACACCATCTCTGCAGTGAGGTGCGCTCCAGCTTCTGTGAAAGGGGCTCCCGCTAAAGGGGCTCCCACCGCAGCCCTCGCAGTGCTGTCCAGTCAAGTGGGGCGTTTCCAGCCGGCTCTGCCATGGGACACAGCCCGGTCAGGAGAGGGGAGTCACACCGCTTATTTTACCGAGAAAACGTCATGTGAAGAATGTAGCCGAGAGGCTAAAGAGAGAACTCCGAGTCGCCATGAGGTACCCACTGTGGGCTGCGGCCGCGCGCCTAGCAGAGGGCACGAAGGGCAGGGCTTGGAGCTCTTAGGCCTCAGAAGGCCGCGGGAAGGCCGGTGCACCTGCAGCGCGGGACCTAATGGCTGCTGCGCGGGGCACTGGCGGGGGCCGACGTCACAAAGAGGTCGCTCCCGTCACGCCAACGCAGCAAAAAGCTTGCTCCCTTCAAGCCCACCTCACAAAGAGGTTGCTCCTTTAACGCCCACCTCACAAAGGCGTCGCTTCCGCACATGCACGACTCAGCCGCAAGGGCGTGCGACGCGCAGGCGCCGGGTAGCCCACGGGGCGGAATCTGGAGCGAGCCCGCCCTCCTCTAGCCCCGCGGCCTCCCTTTCGCGCCCCCTATCGGCAGGGCCAGTGGGGCAGCAGAAGCGTGGCTCGCAGGGCCCAGCCCCAGCCGCATGCACCGAGCTGAGCGCGCGCTTTCCTGTGTGGAGCCCAGGCAAGAACGGCGTAACTGGTACAGAGGAGGCTTTGCGTTTTCAGGAACGCAGTGTCCCGTCTCCAGGAGCTCCGCAGGTGAGCAGGAATGCCAGAAAGTAGCCTGTGCAGAGGCAGAGGAATGGGAGTCCGCCACAGACTGTCCCTCTCTTTTCTCCCGGGCAGAGTCTCATCCATCCCTGGGGAAGGAAGACACCCGGCTGCAATCACGCACCCCGCAGCCGTCCAGATCTCAGCTCGTGTCGTCACCCCTGAGGCTGGAACAGTCTCTGAAGAGGGGCTGCACAGTTCCACGGGGGAAACTGTGAAGGAAAACATAGGCCTGGCCTGTCAGCGGGGGAGTCCCAGAAAACGCTCTGGTCAGTCGGCGCTTGAAGATAAAACTCAGCCATAGAAGGGTAAGCTTTCATAAAGTGGAAAGAAACATCTGTAGCCAGAGATGGATATAAGAACAGCATAGACAGCACAGGGAACAAAGCGAGACCCCGTTTCTACAAAAAATACAAAAATTAGTCGGACGCTGTGGCCCACGCCTGTGTTCCCAGCTGCTCGGGAGGCTGAGGTGGGAGGATCTTTTGAACCTGGAGGTTGAGGCTGCAGTGAGCTACAGTCAGGCTACTGCACTCCAGCCTCGGTGACAGTGCAAGACCGTGTCATTAAAATGAGGAGGAGGAAAGGATCTATTCAGGGCCAGCAAATGTCTACTTTAAAACACTATTGTGAGGATAGAGTCTGAAATTTTAAATTAAAAATGAGCACAGACGTGGACAAGCACTCAATAAACAAACAGAACCTTTATGTATGTAGTCTAAGAGGGGGTCAGGGAGTCCATTTACTGCAGCATTAGCCTGAGGTTGAAAAGTGGGCTCAAATATTTTAATATTCTAGAATGTTTGTTTGCTTGAGTAAAAATCAGAAGGGGTAATTATGGGATGACGGTGATAGTCTAAGTGTAATTTTTAAAATCTCTTCAGGTCCTCCATACAAATAGGTAGAGCAAAATGGACAACATCTGCAATAAAACTAGGTAGCAAGTTTTACCCACAAGCCTCAAGATGAAAGCCATTGGGGACAAATCCCCTATAGCTAGGTCCATGTGGCACCAGCATCTGAAAGGAGTGAGCTGAGGGAAGCAACACAATATCTTACGGATCTGAGAGCAGAAGACTCAAAGCACTCCTGGATAATTACCTGACAGTAGTGGGCTTATTTGTAAACAGCAGATGAAATAGGGAAAACATTTTTCATTTCCGTTCACACATGAATGCAGAGTTTAAAGAAGCGTTCACTCTTGGTGTGATATATTCCATGGGTTTTGACAAAGGTATAATGACATCTATCCACCATTATAATATTGTACACAATAGTTTAATTGCCCTAAAGTTCCTCTGTGCTCTGTTTATACCTCTCTCCCAGCTGCTTCTGCAACCACTAATCTTTTTACTATTTCTATGGTTTTGCTGTTCTCAATGTGTCTTACAGTTGGAGTCACATAGTTTGTACCCTTTGCAGATTAGCTTCTTTCATGTCCTGTTCCTGTTGCTTCACATCCTTGCCAGCATTTGATGTTGGTGTTTTAGATTTTGGCATTCTAATAGATGTGTAGTGGTAATCTTCTTATTGTTTTAATTTGCAATTCCGTAATGATATATGATGTTGTGCATCTTTTCATATGCTTAGTTGGCATATGTATGGCTTTTTTTGCTAGATGTCTGTTCAGGGCTTTTGCCTATTTTCAGTTAGATGGTTTGTTTTCCCATTGTTGAGTTTAAAGAGTTATTTGTATGTTTTAGATAGCAGTCTTTTATCAGACATGTCTTTTGTAAGTGTTTTCTGCCAGTCTGTGGCATGTCTTCTAATTCTTTTGACAGTGTCTTTTGCAGAGCAGAAGTTTTTAATGGTGGTGGTGTATCTAAAAAGGCATTGTCGTGTGTTAGTTTCTAGGAGTTGTATAGTCTTACATTTTATATTTAAGCCTGAGATCCGCCGTGAGTTCATTTTTTGTGAAGTGTATAAAATCTGTGTCTCAATTCATTTTTTTATATGTGCCTGTCCAGTTGTTCCAGCACTACTTGTTGAAGACACTTACCTTGTACTATTGTGTTACCTTTACTCATTTATCAAATATCTGTTGTATTTATTTAGTCTTTTTCTGGGCTTTCTTTTCTGTTCCATTGATCTAGTTGTCTGTTCTTTTGCCAATACCTTGCTGTCTTAATCACTGTAGCTTTATAGTAAGTCTTAAAGCTGGGTAGTGTCGGTCCTTCAACTTTGTTCTCATTTAATATTTAGTTGGCTATTTTGGATCTTTTGTCTCTCCATTATGAACTTTAGAATCAATTTGTTAATACTCACAAAAATAACATACTAGGATTTGATGGGAATTGTGTTGAATCTATAGACCAAGTGTGGAAAAACTGCCATTTTGACAATATTGAGTCTTCCTATCCATTAGCATGGAATATCTTTCCATTTATTTAGTTATTTGGTGTCTTTCCCTACAGTTTTATGATTTTCTTTATAGAGATCGTACATGTATGTTGTTGGATTTATACCTATTTTATTTTGGGGGTGCCAATGTCAATGGTGATGTGTTTTTAATTTCAAATTCTACTTTTTCATTGCTAGTATATAGGAAAGTGATTGATTTTTGTATGTTAACCTTTTTTTGTATACTGCATCCTTGATAATGATTTATTAGTTCCAAGAGCTTTCTTTTGGCTGATTCTTTTGTTTTTTTTTTCTACATAAACAATCATGTTATCTGGAAACAAAGACAGTTTTATTTATTTCTTCCAAATAAGTATATGTTTTATCTCCTTTTCTCATCTTATTGAATTAGCTAGTACTTCCAATACAATGTTGAAAAACAGTGGGGAGAGGGGACATCGTTGCCTTGTTCTTGATCTTATCAAGAAAGCTTCAAGTTTCTTACTGTTAAGTATGATATTAGCTGTGGGGTTTGTTTTTGTACATGTTCTTTATCAAGTTGAGGAAATTTCCTTCTATTCCTACTTCACTGAGAGGTTTTATCATGAATGGGTGTTAGGTTTTGTCAAATGCGTTTACTGTATGAATATAATTTTTTCATAGCCTGTTGATATGGTGGATTACATTAATTGATTTTCTAATATTGAATCAGGTTTGCATACCTGGGGTAAATCCCATTTGGTCATAGTGTATAATTCCGTTTATACATTGTTGGATTTTATTTGCTAATGTTTTGTTGAGAATTTTTGTATCTATATTCATGAGAGATGTTACTCTGTAGTTTTATTTTCTTGTGATGTTCTTCTCTGGCTTTGATATTTGGGTAATGCTGGCCTTATAGAATGAGTTAGGAAGTATTCCTTCTGCTTCTATCTTTGGAAAAGATTGTAGACAATTGACATAATTTATTACTTAAATGTTTGGTAATATTTATTAGTGAATCCATATAGGCCTAGTGCTTTCTTTGGAAACTTATTATTGATTAAATTTATTTAATAGGTATAGGCCTATTCAGATCATGTATTTACAGATGCACCTAAATTCTACATGAAATAGATAATTGTTAAGAAAAATGCAATCTGCCAAAATTTACCTTAGTCAAAGTCTAACAGACCAATTATGATAGAAGAAATAAAGAACATAGTTGAAGTGCACCCTCACAATGAAGGCATCAAACCCAGATGGAGTGACAGGAATTCTACCAATCAGGTAAATTCCAAAACTACTTATAAAGTTTGTGGATATGGAGAAAGAAAAAAAAACCTTATAAATTAGTTTTGTGAAGCAAGTATTACATCAAAACTAAAACTGACAAATAATTGTAGTAAATACATAATATCATCATTATATTAATTGAAATATATTACTTCAAAAAAATAGATAAAATATTAGCAAGCAAAATTTAACAACACTTTAAAAATAATGTGTCATTGTCAAGCTGAGTTTATTCCAGGAATGTAAAGGTTATTCAATATTAAGTAATTCATTAATACAGTCCGTCATATTTATAGAGATAAGAAGTAAAACATGCCAATCTCCATAGATGCATAAAAGTATTTGAAAAAAATCCTTAAAAATGGAAATAAAATATAAATATGTGGATATATTATTAACATGAATACACACACGAGCATGCTTTTGTGCATGTACCAGCCCAAAAGTTGAATTTTGCTTAATGGGAAAACTAGAGACTGTGTCACTAATGTGGGATGCCGACCACCTCCAGTACTATTGAATATTGTGTTACAGATACTAATCAAAGCAAGTAGATAAAAGAAAAAAACTAGAGGCACAATAATGGCAAAGTAAGAAGTAATGCCATTTTTCTTTGCAAGTAACACGATCTTATATCTGGAAATTCCTCCTCACCCAAATCAATGGAAAAGCTGCAAATAACATGACAATTGAGTAAAAATATATCTTAAGTCAAACAACTCAGAAACAGAAAGACAAATACTGCACATTTTTTCTTATAAGTGAAAGCTGAATACTGTATACACATATACAGAGTATAGACTGATAGACATTGGAGACTCAGAAGGGTGGAGAGGTGGGAGGGGAATAGAGGATAAAAAAATTACTTAATGGGTGTAATGTACATTATTTAGAAGATGGGCACAGTAAAAGTTCAGATTTTTCTACCATGCAATTGATACAATTTAGATGTTTGTCCTCTCTAAATCTTGTGTTGAAATGTAATCCCCACTATTGGAGGTGGAGCCTGGTGGGAAGGTGTTTGGGTCATGGAGGTGGATTTCTCATGAATGGCTTAGCACCATCCCCTTGATGATGAGTGAGTTTTTGCTCTGGTAGTTTATGCAAGATCTGGTTGTTCAAAAGAGTGTCGCACTTTTTCTCTCTGTCTCTCTCTCTCTCTCATTTTTTGAGACAGCATCTCTCTCTGTCTGTCACCCAGGCTGGAGTACAGTAATGTGATCTCAGCTCACTGCAACCTCCGCCTCCCAGGTTCAAGCAATTTTCCTGCCTCAGTCTCCCAAGTAGCTGGGACTACAGGTGCACGCCACCATGCCCAGCTAATTTTTGTATTTTTAGTAGAGGCAGGGTTTCACCATGTTGGCCAGGCCAGTCTCAAAACTCCTGACCTCAGGTGATCTACCTGCCTTGGCCTCCCAAAGTGCTGGGATTACAGGCATGAGCCACTGTGCCCAGCCCCTCCTCTGTCTTTTTCATGCTTCTGCTCTCACCATGTGATGAACCTGCACTCACTTTGCAATGATTGGAAGCTTCCTGAGGCCCTCATCAGCAGCAGATATGAGCACCATGTTTCTTGTACAGCCTGTAGAACTGTGGGCCAGTTCAATCTCTTTATAAATTACCTAGCCTCAGTATTTCTTTATAGCAATGCAAGTAAAGCCTAATATAGAAAATTGGCACCAAAACTGGGACA